GATAAAAAAGTGTGACCTTGTCTTCTTGCATGTAAAATGGAGATAAAATGAAATGTGAGGTGACAAGAGAGAAGAACCACATGTCATAATTTCAATAAAGAGGCACTGTTTCAGAAGCTTTCTGCATATTTGTAGTATAGCAGTAACTTAGCATCTCCTTTTAATTTCTTCAGTTCCTGCTGTGTATCACTTTATGTTTAGAACTCATATTCCAAATCTGTACCCACAGTACCAGCTCTATCTGCGAGGGCCTGAGATGGAGGCTTATGCAGCTCACATCAGCTGGGCTTTTGTGTGCATTGATTGGACTCTCTTTGAATGATATTCTGCTTGACTTCACTTGTGACTTGCTTTTAGCAACTTTCAGGAATATAATTATCAACCTGCTATGGGTTTTGTGAGTGGTGTTATTTGTTATTTTTTTTTAATGTGCTTTTTTCTTTGTATATTTGATTGGTGCTGGGTGTTCCTTTTTTTTTTTTTTTTTTTTTTGAGAAGACATGTCATGAAGGTAGAGATGTATGCATAACTGTGCAGATAATAATAATTTCCAGAACTTTCCTGTGTGTTTGTGTGTATGAAACCACAAAAAATATCCAAACTAAGTAGTGCAGGGTCTCAAATAGGTCAGAAAAGATCTGAATGCCACTTAGGCCCTATATACACCACATATATATACACATACAGATACAGGCTAAAAGGTTGTCTGGAAATGTTGCAGTCACAGTTATTGCCATCACTGTGAAATTACTTTACCTAGGGAAGTGTATCCCAACTTCTGGACAGAATTTGGAGATGGTCAGAAAAGATAACTTTTCAGCAAAGGAGAATTAAAAGGAAATTGTGCGTGCTCATCAATGGCAATCATTTGTTGGTTTATTTTGTTTATTGTTTTTATTTTGTTATGTTTTTTAAATCACAGTTTTCAGCTTCAATCATTAAGATTTTTTCAACTATTAAAAAGATGCTTCAATAAGGTGTTACCTAACTTCTGAAGTTTTTAAAAAGGTTATGAAAAGCTTTTAGAAATGTGCAGGGTTAATATTTCAATGTGATGCAACAATTCATAGCTTTCTGAATTCTGATCTTCTACAGCAAGAGTGCTGCTTTTTGTGGGTGCGAGATACTACTCACAGCTTTAGAAGAAATATCAATTCTTTACTTCATTACTTTGGTAGCTGAAATGTGATCTCATTACAGTGCGTGTAGCATATGTGTTCAAAATAAAACCACTGAGATGGACCCACAAACAGCTCCCGTTCCCCTCAAACATTTAACACACAAACCTGCATCTTTTCTACTTATTTTTAAGTATGATTTAATTATTCTTATGATGCAAAGATTACCAGGTGTGTACTTCGCAATGCAGATTCTGCAGATTTATTTCAGGGGAACAAACTGAGTAAAGCCATTAAATGATGATGAACTTTCATACTCCACTTCCAGGATTCCTCTACAAGTCTTCTTTTCTCATTTCACCTCCCTTGTGCTCCTTGCCATGCCATAACACATTAGTAGAGGAGGAAATAAATGACTTCAGATAAGGCAGGAATCAAATACGGAAATTCAGTTATAAAATTTTTTCAGCTTTTGATACAATATCTTTCATTAATTTGACCAAAACTAAACAAAAAGATGGCAGATACTTAGTAAGTTAATCATACTAGGATTTCCCAAGGAAATATCCATCCACAGAAGTACAGAAACAAGAAAGAGGATGTTACTGCAGCTAGATTGCCAGAATTAGGGCACTTGCATGTGCAGTCATTTATATATATATATTCATTCTGAGGTTAATTATGTATGGTATATGCGATGTTAGAGACATGGATGACTAGAATGGCTTTATCTGCTCAGACGTGAATGGCACTGAGAAACAATCACAGAACAGGCACAAATGGTTCATGGAGGGAAGGGAGCTATTCATGCTATTAGCTTCTCAAGTGAAAGATATATGTGCTGTCTCTTAGCTGCTTTCAAATTACATGTACTAGATTTATTGAAGAGTCAATCTGTGTGTCTGAGCAATGGTACTGCATGTATATTTGCAGATGCAAGGCCTCAAAAAATGCAATAATAAAATAACACAATATAGACCTGACAAAGGTAGTCTTTGTAGTATTCCCTGTGAAAGTTTTGTAACCTTGCTATGCATGCTGCCCTACTCCTGTCTCCTGTGTTATATCCTTGGAAAAAAAAATGACTTCTTACAGTCCTATGTCCCTTCCCCTGCGCTCATCAGTTCATTTCAGTTCTGACTGGGGCTGTGTCAACTACAGAAATAGCATACAGTAACAGGAGAGCAGTGTGGAGCAAAGCAGTATTGAGGAACTGAGGCATACATTTTGGGTTCTGCTCCAAACTGGCTTGCCTGTTTCTCTAGCCTTGACGTCCATTGGCTGTTGGAGTACATCAGCTAGCCTTCCAGTTCAGGTCCTTTAAAAAAACATGTCTGGGATTTCTCAGAAATACAAATTGAAGCGTGTAAATACGAACTAGCACAGTTCCTATTAAAGTATGCTCATAATGCAAGCTAGAACACTAATGTAAAGACAAACTGAAGCAAAACAAAACAAAACAAAACAAAAAAAACCACCAAACACCATTTTGGTTTCTTTTAGAATCATGGAATAGCTTGGATTGGAAGGGACCTTAAACATCATTGGATTCCATTCTTCTTGCATTTAAATATTGTTCCATTGCTTCAGGATCACATCAGTGGGCACATGCTACAGGGCAACTGCCTGATGGCTTTTGTTAAGAAACTTGCCTTAGATAAGAATCAAGGCTTGATAGCAGTTTGCTTTAAATAGTAGTTACTAGTTCACTAGCTGATGAATATTGAAGAATTATTTTCAGCCATTCACGAGATCCAGTACTCCTTAATGCTGTTTCTGGCACGCTAGTACTATTTGCAACATGAAAAAAAAAAAAAAGAAAATATAAGTTAAATTGACCAAAAAAAAAGAGCTTGTTTGTTTTCCACCTCTCCTTCCTTTCCCCCCAAAATAATCTGCAAGCTTTTGAGATTTGGCTGTGTTTGGCCTGCATCAAATCCTAGTGTTTCCAAACTCAACTAAAACCAAGAAATCATGGATGTATTGTTTAGGTGTGCAAATGACTCACACTCTGGCTTTCTGTTTATTTGTTTTAAATATGGGGGTGGGCACCTGCTTGATACTTGAAATAATTTTAAGTGTTCTAATTGAGTGGCTTGTTTCACCTACGAGACTCTCCCTGTCAGAGTACAGTGTACCACAATATGGTGTAAGTCCAGCAATGCATCTTTAGCATCATTTGTCCATTACACCTGGTGGGAATGCTCCTAATTCCAGTCATGCTAGATTGGTAGCTCTCATCCAGTGTAACTAGAAACCTGCTATCAGGTCTTTCCTCCAAGTTAGTCACTGCTTTACTAGCTCATGTCAAGCTTAACTTAAGAAGTAGTTCGCTGTTTCTATCAATGACTTTGTTTTCCAAACTGAAATACTGACTCATTGGTGGGACGTGTTGATAGATCCTATTGTTACTGCTCATGGCCTATAAATACTAATAACTTCTGTAGCTGAGACATCTCCATTTCCATAAACACTTTCTCCTTGAAAGCCCTCAAACTACACAAAATTATAGCTATAATTATTTTATTTTGTTGGTTTTGTCAATGCACTGGGAGTAGAGTATTCATCATCAGTTTTGGCATAGATCAGATTTTTTGCTGTTTCTCTTGGAGTGTGTTAAGCGTTTCTTTTACCTGCAACCCCCTTTAGGCCACTAATACTATAAAGTGAGATACAGTGAAATCTCCTAAAACTTGTTTTAATAAGGATTAAAAGTGTTTTGTGCTTGCTGTCTTAACCCTGTGGTGTATTCTCATAGCTGTGGATCTGATTCATTAAAATCTAGTCTGTAGAAGCACTCCAAAAGTAGTTGGCATGTACATTTCTGGCTTGAGTCATAGTGGTCTTATGATCATAGTACAGATTAGGAGTGGACGTCCCTCTAAAATGGGACCAAGTGGAGCTTTAGGGCAGTGGGAAGCTCTTAATTGTGCTCAAGTAATTTGTTAGCTATTATACTGTATTTTAACATACCTCAAATTGAAATATACATGTTGTGCTTTGTGGCTATTATTTTTTTAAAATACACCATATAGGCACGTGGCAGCTGCATACTGTATGCTTTGCTCTGCTTAAGGTCTCTGATTGTGGCCTAAGAAATGAGGACAAGGTATTCTGTTTTGTTCCTTTAGATGCCATATTTGGCTGGAGGCAGACAGCCCACATAGCTTTAACTAGAGGAAGTCCTTACTGCTTCTGATTTTTAATTTGCATATTTGTAAATTAATAAAAGTTGAAGCAGTATCTCTGAGAAGAGGGAGGCAGAGTTAAGGAGTTCTTTCCATAAACCTCACAGAACAGAAATTGGCGTACCTCTAGGGTACAGTCTGGCTCACTGCCTCACTACCCTCTGCAACCCTTTAGCTCACATTCCACATGAGGAGTGTAAGTTACCTCAGTGTATAAGGTTCAGTAGGGATATTATAGTGGGTGATACCAATCAAGACATTACTCTGGAGTCTATTATAGAATCAGTGACACAAGTTCCCATGACATGCTGCTCAGAAGTTCTATAGGTTAGCTGCTTTGTATGCCCTGATAATGCTCTTTGATCCTTAATTCTCATTTTGAATAACTAAACATCAAATTTGATCCATCACATCATGATTAAATGATGGACAAATGGATAGAAGTTACTGTATGAAACATTGCAAATATTGCTTATCAAACACTTTGTTAACCTAAGTGCTTAGGAATGGTATCAGTGCTAGTCTGATGATCTTCTAAAGATACCTTAAGTGAAAAGAATGGACCGTATTACCAATGTTTAGATTCACCTGGGAATTCAGACTCTGCTTTTTGATTTTATGAAAATGTCTTATGGTGTATGGAGTACCCCATGTATAGTTTATGTTTATGACACATCCTGGTTCTGCCTTTTAAACGAATCTCAGCTAGATGGTTTCTTTATCTTCCTTCCAGAAAAGACGACGACGCATAGACCGAAGCATGATCGGGGAGCCAACAAACTTTGTTCACACAGCTCACGTTGGATCAGGAGACCTATTCAGTGGAATGAATTCGGTAAGCATCTGTGTATGAAGATATTTCATTTTATACAGGGCACAGGAACATTGTAAGAGGCTAAAGCAATGCAGAATGATTCTCTGAATTGTGACAGAGAGACTCTCTGTAAAACCGAAGAGTAACTAGTAGTGTGTGAATTCCAAGTCTTAGTTATTTGCATTCTAGATTATGAGAACCTGTAGTTACTGACAATATGTAGCAGACATTATATATACTGTGCAGGCTATGTATAGAATATCACTGAAAAACTCATTCTGATGGCATGTGCAAAGTAATATAGAGGAATATTTTGAGAAGTATTAGTTATTTAGAAAAAAAATCTTCTAAACATATCTTGTAATTCAAGTTAGATTTCTTAGCTTAAATGCTTTAAAGTATTTTAACTTATAATTGTATTAAATTTGTAATTTATATGAAATTGCAGTTCACCGTATTTTATGGTGCACAGAAATATTTTTGTGTGTACTTGTTGAGACTGTCTATATCTTGTAACTCTATTTGCAATGTGAATTATTTCCAGAGCAAGCAGTTATGTCACAAGCAGGGTTTTATGGCTTCCTCTAGATTCTTGAAGGACTAAATACTTTTTCTCCGTGAAAGTGAAAAACAGGCTAATATTGATAATGAAAATGAGCTTACGAGGGTATATTTCTTCTTTACAACTATATTTTATGTGAAACATCAATCTATTTTTTAAAGTCAATAATTACAAAAAGGGGTGATATTTAGATAATGAATAAAAGTATTTCTCAACCTAAGTAATTATTTTAAAAGGAAAAAAAACTTCTTTTGAGATGGTGGATTTTAGGAAAGAGGAAGAATGACTTCTGTCAGAGGTATCAATGTGGAGAGCAGAATTGAATGAAAAAAGTCAGTTTAAATGTAGGAAAGTGAGGTCAATTGCAGTTTCAACTAGTTTGCAGCTTACTGTGATTAGAAAAAAAGAAACTTCTTTAATTTCATAGCTGTTAGGGAAAGGCAAATCTATAATATCTGACATGACTAACAATATGCTAGGTTTTCCTTGAAACTAGATAAAGGAACAGAAATTATTTGTACTAAATCATCAGTAAGGTAAATGGACAAATACAGCTTCAACTTGATAAAATTCAATTAAAGCTGAGGGTCTATTTAATAAATAATAAATACATTCTGAATTTAAATAATGAAGTCAGTGATTCATTTTTCTTGAATTTCTTTTAGAAGCATGGCTGTTTGCTCTTTAAATGTTTTCTCTCTCCTGTGTGCGAACCTTCTTCATTCTCACATCTGAACTATCTCTTGGGAGCTTTGTGGTGGCTGCCTGAAGCTTTGCTCTTTCACATCAACCTTTCCCCCGCTTGCCCTCAGCCTTGCCTTGTATGTTTAGTTCATCTCCAGATAATATTTAATGATTGCTGTTGCTACATAGACTTTTCCATTTTGAACATTTATAACTGAGCATATCTTTCACTTTCACTTTCACTTTTTTTTTTTTTTTTTTTTTTTTTTTCCCCAATTTGGATAATGTGCTGCAGCAATGGCCAGAGGAATATTTTCTAATAAAAGAAAGAGACTGTATGCAAAAAATAATCTTTAGGAGCAGAAATCTCCAGTTCTAACCTCATCTCTTTTTCTACCTCTTCTTTGATGATTTACTGGGGTAAAATTGTATCCAGTCTCCTTGCTTATTCTTTATAATTCTATCCCCAAGGTCATGGTGGCATTTCCACTTGTTTAACATCCTCTATAATATAGGCATTATACTCCTTTGTGAGCCTCCTCCAGTTTTATCAGCTTTTTCCATATAAGTTTGATTCTTCAGTAAGTAGCTCATCTGTGCCTTTTCTTCATCAGAGTTGTTCTTTATTCCCTTGTACTTCTGAGTGCAGTAGTATCCTGGTTACTGAAATTCTTAGCTTTTTTGCCTTCCTTGTTAAGAGCCTTGCTCATTTGTGAAATGTAAATTTTAACAGCAGTGAACTCTTACTTTCTCATGTCTATCACTTTTCTACTATTTTGTTTTAATCTTTGTATTGCTCAGTGGAGTCTCCTACTTTATTTTTTGTCATTGTATTCCTCAGTTTAGCCTTTAATTTTGCATATTCCTTCCTTCTTGTAATTTTTCCTCAAGGACCATCTGTGCTATTTCCTGATTCTGAAAGTGAGCATATGGGGAAAAAAAGAAAGAAAGAATATAATGAGGTGGAAAAGCACACAGCATATTTTATGATATCTAATCGGTGCAGTCCTCTTTTCCTTGCAAAACCTTTCAATCCTTATCCTACCTAATTACATGTAAGAGGAAAAAAACAAGCAAACAAACAAACACAAGAACATTGCTTTATGTCATCTGAGTGGCATCTTTTTAGGGGGAAAAAAAGAAAAAAAGCTTGTTCTTGTAGTTCAGGCTGCCTCAAAAGGAAAGTGCTTCAGAAGGAGTACTACCTTGTAAGGTGGATTACTAGACCTGGCTTTTTTGACAGTTTTTAGTATTACATTTCTCGCATGTAAGTTTTAACACATAAAGTATCCACTGAATCAAGGAGACTCTTTATATGCACAGCCTCTGTATTTTAGAGTGATAGCTCCTAATGCACTCCTAAAAATGTCTGTATGTATCATTCCAGTACCAGAGAGATTTCTGAGTCTTTCTTCTAAAGGATAGAGTAAAATCTACACTTCCGCCTTGGAGTTTGTGTTGATTCCTCTATAGTTTCGAAGGAATGTAGGCAAGTTGTTTGTTCAGAGAAGGGCAGCAAAGCCGGAAGGGGTCTGGAACACAAGCCTTATGAGGAGCATCTGAGGGAGCTGGGATTGTTCAGTCTGGTGAAGAGGAGGCTCAGGATTAGGGCTCTAAACAACTATCAGAAGAAGGTTGTAGTGGGCTGGGGATTGTCCTCTTCTCCCATGAAACTAGTGATAGGTCTAGAGGGCATGGCCTCAGGTTGCACCAGGGGAGATTCAGATTGAACCTTAGGAAATAATTCTCTGAGAGAGTGGTCAGGCACTGGAATGGGTTGCTCTAGGAGGTGGTGGAGTCGCTGACTCTGGAGGTGTTTAAGAAATGTTTAGGCATTGTACTGAGTGTCATGGTTTAGTGGGAAATATTGGTGATAGGTTGGACTGGATGATCTTGGAGGTTTTTTCCAACCTTTGTGATTCTATGCTTCTGTGATAATAAGTTGTCAGTCTGGAAAGTAACATACCCTGAAAATAGTTTCCAGCTCTTTTTCTCTAGAGCCGGAGGTCATTCAGATTAAATACTTCCAGTCTGTAAGTTGTGCATACACTGACATGTAGATTGGATATATTCTGGAGAAAATAACATTCACATTTCTTTTGTTCTAATGACCAACAGAACATGCCAGATGAAGAAGATGATCAACTTGGTTAGATGCAAAAATTTTCAAACACCCTATGACTATTGTAGCACTCTCTTTCACTGAGTCAGTGATGTCAGACGTGCTCGAGTATTGGCTCTAAATATGTAGCCCTGCAGGAAAAATTTAGTATAACACTGCTTTGCAACAGCTGCTTCACCTTTGCAAGCAAGGCACCAAGGTAAAAAATACTGTGCTGCTTCAGTGCATTAAAAAAAAAAACACAGTTTTTTTTGGTCAGCACTGCAATACATAATACTTTTGACAGAGTATTGTCAAAGACAAAGATCCATTTTAGACACCTTTTTCACGCTGATTTGAGAAACAGCATGCAGCAAAAAGCCGTGCTGATTCATTTTGTATGCATGCATTTGTTTTGCTTAGCTGTGAAAAAGAATATACTTTTATAGATGGGGAAAATATTATGCATGCTGCTTAGCTGTATGAAAGCCACACACTGGACAAATAAGTCTTTCCCGTGTTGTTCTGAGGACTCTGTGAAGGAGCTGTGCATGAAATAATTGCAAGTGGCACCCTACAGGCTCCTTGATGCAAGTTCGTTTTCAGAAGCTGTAGCCTTAAATGCACGTATGTGCTTATTGTGTAGTTGTTACATATGCTTGTAAGATTATTTTACATCATCATTGTCTCAAAGCTTGCTGGGGGACACAGATGAACAAGTCCCAGCAAGTCCTGCGCAAAGGTTGAGAAATCCTTTGTCTGAAGGACATGGCCAGGGGCCAGATGGACAAGGCCAGGGGCAGTGAGAGAGAGATAAACTGCAGCTTAATGGCCCTGAAGCGGTCTTTTGTGTGGGCTTATCTCAAGGAAGATGGCCATCTCAGGAGGTACTCACATGACTCTTGGTCAAGCACCCGGGGATGTCACATAGGCAGAAAGAGAAGAAGGATAAAATGGGGACCTACAATTGTGAAGAACTAAGGTTTTCTGGCACCAGATTCCTCATGAAGAAGAACAAGAGGTTTTCTGGCAACAGATTCCTCATGAAGAAGAACAGAGGTTTCTGCCATGAGAAGCCTCACGACCTGCCTCTCTCGCTCTTGACTTGCTCTGCGCTCTACCACAATGCTGAAGAAGAACAAAGGTGTCTGCCATCAGATTCCTCACTACGGGATGCCTGCATACTGACGGACTCTCCTGGGCCCGCTACCCGAGTCCTGCTGCTTCCCCCCCAGACTGGCTCTGTGACTGCCTCCTGCTGCCTGCTTGCTGCCCAAGGCCGGCCACGCTGCTGCTCTCCCCTCTGCCGCTCCTGCCTCGGACCTTCAAAGCGGCGTGCAGCGGGACCGCTGCTGGATCCTGGTGGTGACTATCCCCGCTTTATGCGATTCTTGCTTCTTTCCTATCTTTTCTATCGCCCTCCTTCCCTTCCCCATCTCCCTGAGTAGGATTTATAATAAACTGGTTGGACTAACATATGAACCGTTGTTTCTTAATCTCACGCTGGGTATATGGATATTAAAAGAACCTCATCTCCCTCCTATAAATTGGAGTGAGACATTTTTTATTGGCGTAGTCGGCGGGATACCCGCTGTGAGAGTCTTGTCCTTTCAGATATAGTTTGAAACTTCTCTGTGTGTACCTTCTGGAGTTGCAAGGAGCAACATTATTGAAAATTTAGACATGAGTCCTTCTTCAGGAAGACTGCTCTGCATTCTGAAACCTTGCTTTTTATGTCTGTACCTCTCAGGGACGTATTTTGAATACTTGCTTATTGTTTAATATGTGTGTGCCTCGTTGGGAAGACATCTCTGCAGTTTTCTTGTAATTGAAGTACAAAATTTGAGCCTTTTTTTTGTGCGCCTCTTGGGGAAGTGATATTTTGTGACTTAAACGTGTGTGCCTCTCCAAGAAGTTTCTATTTATATTATTGAAACCTAAAAAGTGTTGCTTTAGCTTCTTCGCATTTTTGTGCTCTCCCCAAAGAAAGGGAGGAGTGGTTTGAGTTGTGTGCACCTCCTGGAGTTACAAGGAGTGAATTCTAACTTAGCTGTGGTGTTTACGGTTTTTTTTCTCACACTGAAACCTAATAGGTGTTGTTTTAGCCTCTTGTCCTTGTGTGCTCCCCTCAAGAAAAGGGAGGCGTGATTGGAGCATTTGCATTTGTTTAGATGTGGTTTACCTCCTTGGGAGGAGTGGTAAAGAGTAACTGAGCTTTTGAACACATGTACCTTCTCCTGCCTTAGTGTAGATCTTTCATTGTATTAAGAAATGAGTGACAGTATTGCCACTATGAAAAGTGAAGATTTGTTATTTGACCTTTTAAAAAAGCATGGTGCTTGTCTCTCTTTATCAGGGGTGGACTTGGCACGCCAAAATTGGCATAATTTGCAGAGTGTTTCGGACCGCATTAGTGTTTTACAGAATGAGGCTCGTACACGAGCTAGAAAAGGAAAGTCGTTCGTTTGTGCCGTACTCCGGGCTTCTTTAAAAGCTGCTGTCGAGTTCCGAAATGAAAAGCATTTGGCAGAACTCCAAACCATACAAGTACTACAGGAGTTGATTGGAGTTACACAAGAATTGGTGAAAACTCTGCAGAATCAAGTAGTTAATCTTGAGGAACAGTTAGAAAGAGAGAAACATAATTTGGTTTTGTTGCAGATGGCTTTCAAGGAACTGTTAACATGTAAGGATACTAGCGATAATGTCACCCACAGTTTGCCTCAAGAAAAAAACTTTTCCTCAGGAGGAGCTACAAGAAATAAAGGAAAGACTAGACAAATTAGAAACCCCAATAGTCCCATTGCATCCTTTGATAAAAACCGAATATACTTTCAATAACAGCGAGGATCTAGGTCCTCAAATGAATGTTAAGGAAATTCCGTTCTCGGCCACCGAGCTAGCAAAACTGAAAAAATACTTTAGCCACTCTCCAAAGGAGTCAGAAACAGAATATATATGGAGGGTTAGTCTCACTGGTGGCAACCAGATTCTGTTGACAGAAAAGGAAGCAGAAGGTTATTGGGGACCAGGAGTATTTCTAACTACCGGTAACAATCGTGCTCCCTGGTCATTAACACAAAGGGCTGCCTATTGGGCAAGTGTTCTCAACTCTTTAGAAAGAGGAGACCTTCTTGCCATTACTGGAACAACTGATCAATTAAAAGGCTGTTTGTCTCCAACTGATGTATGATAGAAAGCTGCAACCACATCATGAATCACCCATGATGATGCCCGTTGATCCTGAGAGGATGACCCCTTTAATTAGAGGGCTTCCAGCATCATTGAAACCCATAGGCATACAATTACAAGCAAGGATACAAGCTGTGTCTCAGGGAGAAAGAACCTGGGCAGTGTTAGAAGAAACTGTAACCCCCAACCATCTGTAGTCAGGATGCAAAGTATGGACGTGTGGGGAGGTTGCCCAAGAGTTAATTAACTCTGGGAGAAAATATGGGCCGGTAGTTTCTTCTTCCTCTAGTAAATTTGAACCAAGAGAAGTAAGACTTGCAGCGGTCAGCCTTGCTCCCAGGCCACCTAGCCCAAAGCTCAGTGGGTCTGGAAGGGCCTCAGTGCCAGTAAAAACTGGTAGGTGGAACATTGATCATAAATGTAAGTGTCTCTGGACACTTGGCTGGCTAAAAGGTGTTCCACGAGGTCTGATGAATGGATTACCCAAATCAGGTTGAACAGATTAGTTAAGTGGTGGCCAGAACAAAAGCTCGAGAATATTGAGGAAAGCAAAACCCCAGGTCCTAGGGCCTCTCCCAGGGAACCTGAATGGCTATCCAAGCCAGAAACCTGATGTCCTCGCCCCTCCTAGGTGAGCGGGGTGGGGGTGGTGAAGGGTGGATGCATTAGAAAGCTCACAACAAAGGGAAACACTTATCTCCCGGGCCAGCCTGTGTCGATTGGCTCAGCTAACCTGAGGCCAGTTTCCCTAACCTTAATGGAATCCCTTAACAAATATCCTTGGAAGGCTAAGGACACCCCGAAAAAGGAGTATAAAATTAACACTTGCTGGATTGTTCTCTTCATTTTTTAATCATATTAACAAAGACCCAAAAAAGGGCAAGTCGGTGTCTCATTTTACAGAGCACTCCTGTGGATCTTGACTGAATACAGAAAGGACTCTAATAATTTGTGTGTGTAATTTGTGACAGAAATATTGAAAATTTGATCATGCTAGAATGCTGAATATACCTCTTGATTACAATTTGTATTTTAGTTGCAAAAGTACTATGTTGTTGTGGGTGGTAATGTTGTACCTCTATTTGTTATATTTATTTGTTATTGGTTATTGTTAAATGTATGGTTATTGTCAATTCATTATGTAATATTCGTGTCACCAGTCCTGAAGAGTCACAAGATGGTGTCCATGGCAAGTTGATATTGTGTGCTGTTGCAGCTCTTAAGTTTGTTTCTTGTATGGTTCCATCTCTTATGCAATGTGTTGTATCATCTATGTACTCTTTAACCTCCTCTACTGATGGGGAAGTCAAGCACATCAGGGCCTAGCCTGCAAAATATTTTGTAATGACTGTACGAATCCTTTGATTCCCTGCCACCCTCCCTTCTTTAGCCTTATGCTTGCTATCCTTTTCTCACCATCATGGATCATCTGTGTCCCATTTTAAAGCAACCTTTGAGTCATGAGGTGGTGTAAGATATTATTTTACATCATCATTGTCTCAAAGCTTGTTAGGGGACACAGATGAACAAGTCCCAGCAAGTCCTGCGCAAAGGTTGAGAAATCCTTTGTCTGAGGGACACAGATGGACAAGGCCAGGGGCAGTGTGAGAGATAAACTGCAGCTTAATGGCCCTGAAGCGGTCTTTTGTGTGGGCTTATCTCAAGGAAGATGGCCGTCTCCGGGGGTACTCACATGACTCTTGGTCAAGCACCCGGGGATGTCACATAGGCAGAAAGAGAAGAAGGATAAAATGGGGACCTACAATTGTGAAGAACTGAGGTTTTCTGGCACCAGATTCCTCATGAAGAAGAACAAGAGGTTTTCTGGCAACAGATTCCTCATGAAGAAGAACAGAGGTTTCTGCCATGAGAAGCCTCACGACTTGCCTCTCTCGCTCTTGACTTGCTCTGCGCTCTACCACAATGCTGAAGAAGAACAAAGGTGTCTGCCATCAGATTCCTCACTACGGGATGCCTGCATACTGACGGACTCTCCTGGGCCCGCTACCCGAGTCCTGCTGCTTCCCCCCCAGACTGGCTCTGCGACTGCCTCCTGCTGCCTGCTTGCTGCCCAAGGCCGGCCACGCTGCTGCTCTCCCCTCTGCCGCTCCTGCCTCGGACCTTCAAAGCGGCGTGCAGCGGGACCGCTGCTGGATCCTGGTGGTGACTGTCCCCGCTTTACGCGATTCTTGCTTCTTTCCTATCTTTTCTATCCCCCTCCTTCCCTTCCCCGTCTCCCTGAGTAGGATTTGTAATAAACTGGTTGGACTGACATATGAACCGTTGTTTCTTAATCTCACGCTGGGTATATGGATATTAAAAGAACCTCATCTCCCTGCTATAAATTGGAGTGAGACTGTCTGCTCTGGTGTGCGGACAGAAAATCTGTAAGACTGTAAGGCTGGAGTTGTCTTCCTGCAGTTGAGAAATAATTAATGTGCCTTCTTCACAGCAGAAAAGAACTACAGATTCTCTTTCTTATGTTGATAAAAGTAATGAAAGCGATTCCTTTAAATAAGTTATTTCTAGACTAATTGATAGGTTCAGTATGATTTAAATACTTTTCCAGTTACAGGAATTATATGGAGGAAGTGAAGTGGGACATGCTTTTGCATAAATGGATAAGTAAGAAATTTTCCATACACCACAAGCTCTTGTTTGGTTTTAAAAGCATTTTTTATTATTATTATCTGAAGTTACTCATGTACTGTAGGTATTATCCTAATGTTTTATAAGTTGTCTATTCTACTTTTTAATTTAATGGTGCTAACCTCACTGGTTTATCATACTTGACAAATATTGTTTCTCATATAACAAACTAAATTGCAGCTTGTCAGGTGGAGTGGAGTTAGATACCAGTACAAGATTTGATAAATTTTCTTGATCGCATGGTTCAGTGAAAACCTGAATTAGCCAGTTTTCTTTGGGAGTGAGGAAAAACTTCTACATCAGACCAGTTCGTTAGTCTCTCCTGCTGAGCTACCTTAAGAACCAAAAATTCCAGCAAGCCTGCACTGCCTATGTTCTCACGCAAAAGTAATGTAGCTTTAATGGTATAAAAGAGCTCTTGAAAACCAATCCAAAAAGAAAACTGGAAGCAAGAAAATACCACAGTTCATTTCTAACTGCCTGTCTTGTTCTCTTTGCTTCATTTATTCTTTGTCCTCCAGGTGAGCTCAATTCAGAATCAAATGCAATCCAAGGGAGGCTATGGAGGTGGCTTGTCTGCAAATGTTCAGATGCAACTTGTAGATACAAAAGCAGGATAACCTTGGGGATATCTTTCTAGTAAGTATTGCTCTCTACTTTTTGGCATTATTAGATTAGTAGGGAGGAACATTCTTTCACATGCCACAGTTATCTCCCTATAAATAGCTGTGTGCCTTATGATGCATGACTTTAAAATGCACTTCTGATTTTTAAAAAGCAGTACTGTGTGATCATGTTTGTTTGTTTTTTTTTATATAATGACCAAGAGATTGTCCTGACTGCATCCCGATGTCTACAGATCTTTGCAAGTAAAGTTAGTTGTGTAACACATCAAAGAAGAATTTGATGATAGTAACATTTTTACAACGGTTCAGTAATTTAATTAACCAAATTATATATGGTGTTAAATCATTGAATACTGACATTATGGTAGAATGGTCACTCAAAAGGTTCAAAATTTAAGTTTAACATGTTTTCTGTGTTCCAGGTTTCTGTGAGTTCCTACATCTTCTCTCCTGTGTCCTCTCTTTTGCCTTGGTGACTGCTTTCTGTGTTCATGAAAAGAGAGAAGTAATGGCTTATTGTTCACCCTTTGTGATCACTCCAGTGAAAAGTTGCTGCTCTGCTCTGATGATGCCATTTTTCAGATTGGTCCAACTGTGCCTTTCAATGGCATGCACACTTTGGCCTCTACCAGTACCATGGACTTGGAGCTTTTTAGGGTTGTTTTTAGGTTGTTGTTTGTTTTAAGGCAAATCAAAGCACCAGCCTTAGTTTCCATCACCCCTCACAAATACTAATGCACAGCATCATGTTGCTTTTTATTCTTTAAATCTTTTTCTCCACTCACGTAATTTAGAAATGATTGATTTCCAGTAATGTTTTTAATCACTCATTGTTCATATCAATTTTTGAAAGGTCTGGGACCTGCAAGCACAAGTGATTATTTCTTACAAAATCAGCAGAGTAGATGACTGCATGCTTTGTGAGGTTGCTTTGTATGGTGGCCTGTTTGGTGCCAGAAAAAAAAACTGTGTATTGCAGACTGATGATACTGTTGCTGGTGAAAAATTACGCTGTGTCACAAGTCATGCCTGTTTCTGAAAAAGGACTTGTAACTTAGCTGCTTCAGAATTATGTCTTTTAGTTTTTATCCAATGGGTCTTGAAATAATAAAGAGAAAGCTTGCATTCATAAGGCATTTGTTGTAAATGTTCGGTAAACCAGTGTAGTACTGTATCTAAGTGTGGTGGAAGCGCTTTAGACTATTTAGAAAGCATCATGTTTGACTGCTTCTTTTTCTTTTTACATTTTTTCTTAATTTTAGGCTGAATGGTCATTTCCAGTGGCAGCATGTCAGACTGCCTGCAGTATTAGCTAAAACGTTTAGTAGACCTCTCCCTCTAAGTAGTTGGCTGTTTCTGTGTACTAAATATTTAGGGGCCATGGAAGTTGCTAAGAGCAACATACTAATCTGGCAGAACAGATGCCAGTGAAAACAACATACAGGGTGACTTTTTACTAAGTCAGTAAAAAGCCTTTTGCTCAGGTTCCAAAGCATGTTTCTTTCACATGTTGTGAAACTTGTATTTTAATATTGCACTGTTTTCTGATTATCTCTGTAAATGGTTTGTTTTCCTTCTTGCTGATAGTTTGGAAAAAGTCAGTGATGCTAGTCCTGCTTGAGTTATTTTTTTATGTGGAAAAAATCATTCCAAGAAGGCGGAAGTGAGCCTAGTCAGATCCATTTTTGTGCATAAGCATGCACGTGCTTATAAATACAGACTGCTGTCATAAGTGATTCTCTACTCTTTTTCCATGTTTTCCCTGATTTCACATTGCAACAACTGTTAGACTAATTCAAAAATATATGAACCTACCTACTCTTCTCTCAGTTCACAAACACCACACCAAATGCACGGTGGAGGTAGTTTGTTTCCCCTCAGTAGTATTTCTGTGGTAGATATCAGTTATCTGGTTGAATAGCTCCAGTTAGGCTGCTTAGTCTTCATTGATGAAGGTACTGACTCATGATGACAGAAGATCAAGACGTTCAGTTCTCATGGCAATGAAGTGATTTTTTTTAGGAATCAGCATTTCCAGTGCCATGTAAATCAATGAGTCTTAAATACACAATGATTAGAAAATGATTTGAACTTTGACATCGTTAACAGCAGCTTAAATTTGCTTGCCAAAATGATCTTGCACTTGTCAAAATGTTTTCAGTTTACCAGAAAAAAAAATTAACATATTTTTATAACAGACATACTTTTTTTTGTACATCACATTCATTCTTGAAAAAAGTCAGTTCAGTATTGGCTTGTAGATATTAAGAGGAAAATACTGACATTGATTCAATAAATGTTTCCTTTCAGTTGGTGGCCTACCTTTTTCTTTTTTTGTAAGTTACATTTACATTAGAAAACAACTGCAGCTTACAAATTTGTGGTAAAAATTCTCAGGATAAATTCTTAGTATGGGTAATAGGTGATTGGTAAGGCTCTTTGTGTTTTTTTATCATATATCTTGACCGTTTTGTTGTCAAGTGGATTAATCCATTATTTGATTAGTAGTTTTTCCTTTTAACAGCAGAAGTGATGTGTATGTTTCTTTATCAATTGTTATGCAGAATACTTTACAGTGGAGATCATAGACTAATTATACACGTGATTACAGTAATATCCAAATCTGCATTAAATATCCCTGTAAGGCACAGTATTGTCTACTCTGTATTTGTTTCAGTTCATTTACTTTTTATCTGACAATCTCAAAGTTAAGCACCAATTTTCTACTTATTCATACTAACTTATTTTGAAGGCTGACACTGAATCATCTTGTTACAAGTTTTTGAAATTGCCAGTTTGTAAAAAATGAGTTCTGAAGGGAAAGAAATCTCAGGATAAAACTATGAGGCAATGATAATTAACTAGGCTGTTCTTTTTTTTACCTTTATTCTTTCTTTTTTTCAATGTTAAAATGTTAAGAGGTTAACCTAGGAAAGCAGGTAATTTAATTCAACAATCCTCTCAAAGGGAGACAGTTTCTGCAAACTTGGTCTTAACTCTGTTTAGATGCCTAAAGCATGAGTTAGATCAGTCCTTTTATCATTTTTTAAATGAGAAGGGTTGACATTAGCAGCCAAATCTCTGAGAATAGTCTTGGATCCAGCAAGCACTATACACTGAGTGGTATGATAACTGGGGAAATAAATAAATAAATAAATAAAATAATGCACACACACAAAAAAGTCATAGAATCATCATAGAATCATATAATAGAATCATAGAATGGCCTGGATTGAAAGGGACTATAATGATCATCTAGTTTCAACCCCCCTGCCACTAAACCAGGCTGCCCAGAGCCACATCCAGCCTGGCCTTGAATGTTTCCAGGGATGGAGCATCCACAACCTCTTTAGGCAACCTGTTCCAGTGTGTCACTGCCCACTGCGAAAAATTTCCTCCTAATATCTAACTTAAACCTCCCCTGTCTCAATTTAAAACCAATACTTGTTTACTAAAAAAAAAATTATTGAGTCACTACTGCAAATGTATAACTGGCTAGATTCCTTGAAAATAACAAAATACACGATGAGGCAAAACAACTTTATAGGTCTCAATTGTATGAATATGTATGCAGATACTAAAATATTTTTTATTTAAGCTTATTTGAAAAGTCTATGTAATGAAAGGAAGAAGTGTGTGTGCACTTGCAGTATTCAGAAGAAAAAAACACATTGGTTTACCCTGTACTTATGGCATGAAACACAAAGCCACCTGTGTCTACTTATTCATCTCATCACTTAACATTACTAAATCAGCTATACAGATGCTTGAATAAATTATTTAAAGATATGTGCTGCTAGCCATTTGTCAAATATTTAATTGAATCCAACATTTCTAATGATAATGTGCAAGCATATAAGTAGACCTGATTGTACATTCACACACAGTGACTGTGACATTAAATTATTGAAAATAATCCCTGAACCTCACATCTCTGAACCTCTTGGTGGGAACTGGGGGAGCAAACTCCCCCCCACTGTAAGGGCAGCGCAAGTCTGAGGCTGCCTCACGAGACTGTGTGTGTACAAGTTTATGGGGCCAGATGACATGCATCCATGCATCCCAGGGTCCTAAGGGAGCTGGCTGATGTGGTTGCCTAGACTCTCTCCATCGTATTTGAAAAGTTGTGGCTGTCAGGCAAAGTACCAAGTGACTGGAAAAAGGGAAACATCACTCCCATTTATAAGACATGAAGGAAGGAAGATCTGGTGAACTACAGGCCACTGAGCCTCACCTCTGTGCTTGAGAAGATCATGGACCACATCCTTCTGGAACTCATGTTAAGTCACATAAGGGACAAGTGGGTGATCCAAGACAGCCAGCATGGCATCAAGGGCAGGTCATGCCTGACCAATCTAGTGGCCTTCTATGATGGAGTGACGGCATTGGTGGACAAAGGGAAAGCAAATGATGTCATTTACCTGAACTTGTGCAAGGCCTTTGACCTGGACCACTGTCACTATTTAGTGGATAAGGAATTGGTTGGAAGGCCATAGACAGAAGATTTTGGTCAATGGCTCTATGTCCAGGTGGAGGCCACTAATAAATGGTGTCATTCAGGGGTCCTTCTTGGGACCAGTACTCTTCAACATTTTTATCAGTGACACAGATGATGGGATCAGGTGTACCCTCAGCAAATTTGCTGATGACACAAGCTGAGCGGTACAGCTGACACAGCAAAAGGAATGCATAACATCTAGATGGACTTGAAAAGCTTGAAAAGTGGGCTGATGTGAACATAATGAGGTTCAACAAAGCAAAGTGCAAGGTTTTGCACTTTTGTTCGGGGGTAATCCCAGACAGAATGATAGAAGATCTCCTTGAGAGTAGCCCTGCTGAGAAAGACTTAGGGTCCTGGTAGATGAAAAACTTAACATGCACCAGCAGTGCACACTTGCAGGCCAGAAGGCCAACTGAATCCTGGATTGCACCAGGGTAAGGGAGGTTATTGTCCCCCTCTATTCTGACCTCATGAGGTTTCATCTGGAGTACTGAGTCTAGGTCTGGGGCCCCCAACATAGGAAAGATGTGGAGCTTTTGGAGAGGGTGCAGAGGAGAGCCACTAAGATGATCAGAGGGCTGGAGCACCTCTGCGGGAGCGGGATTGTGGAACTCAGTGATGACTTGATATGAGTTAGCAGCGAAGTCCAACTTTAATGAGTTAACACAGCAATATGTACACCAACAAGTACCCCTGGCCGCGTACGGTTGGTTATACGAGCCCGCGCATAACCTATCGCCGTGCGTATCCGATCACTGGGCAAAAGCTGTCACCATGACAATGCAGAATTCCCTGAAACCGCCTGTTTTTTCCCGCCAACCTCCTCACTGGACACAACTCAGCAACCACTTGATTATCTTGAATCCTCACAAAGTCACCACGTCCCCAACATTCCCAAGGTGGCCCTGCTTCCCAACCCACCCCTCCACACACCTATGAGTAAGGGCTGAAGGAGCTGGGCTTGTTCAGTCTTGAGAAGAGAAGACTATGAGGCCTTCCAGCATTTAAAGGGAGATTATGAACAGGAGGAAAATCAACTTTTTACAAGAGATAATAGTGATAGGACAGGGGAGAATGGTTATAAACTAGAGAAGATTTTGATTAAATGGCAGGGAGACATTTTTCACTGAGATGAGGTGCTGGAACAGGTTGCCCAGAGAGTTTGTGGATGTCCTGTCCATGCAGGCGTTCAAGGCCAGGATGGATGGGGCCCTGGGCAGTCTGATCTAGTGCTTTATCTAGAGATTGGTAACCCTGCCTCTGGCATAGGGGTTGGAACTTGATGATTCTTGAGGTTCCCTCCAACTCAAGCCCTTCTGTGATTCGATGAAAATGATGTTCTAGCTGCACCAGTGCAATACAAGCTGTTCAAATGTGTGCCAGGAAGACTGAATAGGACTAGTTCCATCTATTTTCTCTGTGAGTGTTCAGCTGACTGCATTGGGAGCTAACCTAAAGGTGTTTTTGCTGTTGTTTTTGTGGTTTTCTATTTAATATCTTAGTCTTATTCTAGGTCAGTTTTTTATAGAGAATAAAGCTGAGAGTGAGTGGCATGAGATCAGAAGATGTCTTTTTCTGTGGAGCATTGATAGCTAACCCCACTATGGAAAAGCACCAAACTTTCTGAAGGAAGAAAAACTTCACTGAGCCAAGTAAAAGAGCTTGTGATATTTCTACAGAGAAGTTAATCCCACTTTTTGGAACCTATGTCTCCATGTATCATGCAGTGATTGAAGGCACAGACTCAGATGTCTGAACAATCCAAATCCTTTATTGCAGGTTCTAACATCCCTTATATACATCTCTAAGCTTCCTCCTGTAATTTTCCATTTCCCCACATGTCAACAGAACACTTAAGAAGTCTCTACTACTAGACACTAAGTGCCCACCCAAGTGCTCATCCAATCAGAGTTACACGTTGCTTCTATTCACAGGATTCTTCTTCAGTCAGCTAAATTTATGCTTCAGAAAGTAGGAGATTCTGTCCAACATGTGCATGCCCCCATCCTCTCTTCCCCGCTGACATTAGTAGTCATGACATTCCCATCACAAGATGTTTAAAAAGTTGTGATAAGTATTTGGAAAGTAACTGGAAAGTAGGCACTGGGCATGCTGCTTGGGCATCTGCACTGGATTGCTTGTTGTCTCAGCGTAAAACCAGTTTCACAGCACACTGGGCTGCTACAAACTATTTTCCAATTCAGAACCCTACATCAAATGTTTTGAGATAAACGCACCTGTGTCTGAGAATAGACTTTTCTAATGAGGCTGAGGTGATACAGAACCTGAGGATTGCAAAAAGTTTTAGGGATTTTACAGAACTAAGAATATATTTGCATGGTCCAGGATTTCATTGCCTTACTTTTTGCTCTGCATGACTTTTTGGCCAAATTAGTTGTACACATTATATACATTTTTGTTCTTTCAGTGTGTATTACTTAAGGTTTTAGCTTTATGAAAACTGTTTCCTAAGACTTTATCTGCATTTTTCCCTTTTGAGGTTGGTCTTAATCCTCTCAGTACTAATGGAACCATAGCCAGATTCACAAGTTATCAGGAATACACAGAAGGAGCTAATGAATTGAAGTAATGCTTGAAATAAAAACACAGGAAAACAGGAAAACTACCCCTGAATGCTCTTAAAGTAGCATTTGCAATTTCCTATTATTTGGTCAAGAGTTAAAATTCTCTGAAGGACAGGAGCAGAGCAGCCTCATGCTTTTGCAGCACTACATCAAGTGACAGGCATCCCAGACGATGTCCTCACCTCACTCTTACTGAGTGAGGTGTGCTTACTGAAGGGTTACTTCAGAGCTTTCTAGTGAGGAGCAGAAGAACACTTTAAAAAGGAGAAACCAATTTATTATTAATTACTATGTAAATTAGCTAATATCTTTTTCATGTAGTAATTGCCTTGTCACTTTCCAGTGTTCTGTATCCAGGAAGATAAGGCTGCCTTAGGGTCAGCAGGGTAACAAGAGAGTTCTCCATTGCTTCAAGCAATTACCACAAAATAAGAAAAAAAAGAGAGAAAAGTAAAAAGAATCATCTCCCTCATGTTAAAAAGCTTCACTAGTTTGAACGAAATAATCTACTTTTGCAGATACTTCAGTAAGTAAGCCAGGGCAGGGCACAATTTGTCTCATCAG